TGCAGCGCAGCCCAAGCGCAGTCGCTGCTTACTGCGCAGTTAGCAGAGCGCTGGCAGAATGGAGGGTTCAGGGTATCTCCTAGTCGAGCAGTCTCGACTAGAGTCTTCTTACTTGTTTTTTATTTAATTTTTTTTTTGTATATTTTTTATTATAATAAACAGATAGACGGATGGACAAACTTATTGAATAATTTTATTTTTATTTATTTATTTTTGTTTTACTTTTTATTTTTTATTTTTATTGTTAATTTTTTATTTTTTAATATTTATTTTTTATTTATTTTATTTTATTTTATTTTATTTTTTTTTTTTGTGCTATAAGGTGTAAGTTATATCCAAGGGCACTTCACCCAAGAGTTTCTACATATCTCCAAAAAAATAAGATTAAATTAATAAATCGACTGCCCAAATTTTCCTTTTACTCTCATTATCAAATCATCAATTGCTGCTGATTTCTGACTAGATACAACTATGATCACATCTAATTCTAATGATATCTATTAATGTATCTATGATCTATGAAATTATACGTTTCAAATTTATGTGTTTCCATAGTTCATAGTATTTCCTTTGCAGCATTGAAACGTGCGAAATTGTTGAACTTTCTCCCAAACAAGTTGAGTTTTCGACAGTGAAAAATCACATACTTCGAGAGCTGCGGCACGTGGAGCATGTGTCAAAGTTCAGTTGGTTTTGTACTCTGTAAGTGTTGCGTGTCATATTTGTAGTCATTTATAAACTTAATACTGTAGTCCACACTTGAGATGCCATTGTTGAAATTGAGCCGTTCAAATTGCAGAAGCATGTGTCTGTCCCCTTAGCCATTTATCTTTTGTGATAATAATTCCGAGAACCTTAATCTTTATTGCTCGCCTGTTATAATAATGCGCAGCTAATTATTTGCTGTGCTCCCAATTCCAAGAATCTCAGCCAAGTCTGAATTGCTATTATGATAGTGTCTTCTGTTCGTTTAGCAATAAATCTGCTGACTTGGCTGCTTCATTTTTTTTATAAAAAATCATACATACATATATATCCATATACCCATATACCCATGCAAAGCGTAAGATGCTTTGACTAAAATAAAAATATAATCTATATAGTATATGATTGCTTCATTAAACCAAATAGCTCTAGAGGAATACTAGGGGTGCATATTTCTGGAGCACTGGAGAGACTTATACCATAACAGCCCTCTCTGTGTGAATCATAATCAATCAGTTTTAACACTCGATAGCCAAAAGAATTGATTATGATGATTTTAATATTATCAAGTGCTCAGTTTCATTAAATGCAATAAATGTTAAAAATGCACTTCATTGAATTGAATTAAATTAAAATTAAAATTGCTAAATATTTGTTATTTATTTATGAGTTATTTAGCACAGAGCACAAGAGCTTCCGTCCAGCCGTTGAGTAAATGCAAATTCCTTGAATAGTTTTCCGCATGCAGGCTGTCAGCCGAGAGCAGTAACTCAATTGCAGTTGCTTCCAATTGAATGCCATGTCGCATCATCTCTAATTGTCGACTTTAATTAAAAATTAATTATCAGCATGTTGCATCTTGTTGTTGATTTTGCCATGGCAAACAGTCTGACAAACGAGCGTGCCGACACAGACACAGACACAGACACTGGCAGAGACACTGGCAGAGATACAGACACAGAGACAGCTTGGTCATGTCACATTAACCATACGCACTGTGCGCAGTGCACATAACTGCCGGGCATGCCGCATTAACAGTCTGGCCAGACAGCCGGCCGCAGCGATGGCCTTGCAAACTTAAATTGTCAGGCAAACATTTAAAACCAGTTCTCATCAATTTGAAGCGGGCATATGCTTAACTTTACTTGCCCAGATTTTTCCAACTTGGCCGGCAAAAGTTTTCCAGGTAGCTGCTGGGATAGTTAACTGTTTACCTGTTTGCCAGTTTACTGGCTGCCTGGCTAGCTGCCTGGCTGGCTGGCCAAGTGGAGTGCTTTGCACATTGACAGCGTTAATTAACTTTTAATTTAATTTCGCGTAAATGAGTTTTTACTGTCAGCGAACTCTGCTGCATTCGGAGCTGAAGCCAAAAACCGGCCGGATGGACGCTGCATGCTTTCAAGCGTGGTTTTCAAATGTGGCTGCGGCGGGCAACGCAGCTGCGACGCCAACGGCGACGGCAACGGCAACGGCGACGGCGACGGCGACTGCGACTGCGATTTCACAGCTGCAATTGTGACTGTGAGTACAACTGTGACGGTAACTGTGACTTGTACACGCTCGACGCCAGTGTCAATTTATGCCACCAAAGTGAAAATCCAAGCTGAAAGATTTATGTATGTGTTGTGGTAGATGTATGCATACGCATACAAACACACACGCACACGCACACGCACACGCACATGCACACACGTATGTATTATTTATTATATTTTCGTTGGTAAATGTGATTTATATAAAAATCTCAGCAACAGCAGCCACAGTGTCTGGCTGTGTGCGTGTGCGTGTGAAATATTTTGCATCGTTTGAGATTTTAAAATTCAATTTTTAACACCGAATTCCAAAAGCAGCTGCAGCCAACGCGCCAATGACTGCATCAGCATCCGTTTCAGCTTCAGCTTCAGCTTCAGCCTCAGCGCCAATGCCATTGCCAAGAGAGTAATACCTGGGGCAAGCCAGACTCATAAATATATATATGCATATACATATATAGTATATATATATATACATATATATATGCACTCGACCACTGTGCGGCGCTCAGTATGCGATTGAGTGGCAGCGCGGGGCAAGAGCTGCTGCTGCTCCCGCTGCTGCTGCTGCTCCCGCTGCTGCTTCACTGAAGGTGTGTGTTTTATTAATTGCCAAAGCCGCTGCAGCCAGCAGCAGCAGCAGCAGCAGCGCGAAATATGCCAGCACGCATGTGGTTCAGTCTTTTTTTTCCCTTATTTTTTTGTATTCACGCAGCTCTGGCCAGTGGCGCTGCATTTCGTTAATGAAAACTGATTCTAGTGCCATTAAGGTGCGAGCTCTTCAGGTGCAACGGTAACACGTTCAAGTACCAAGCGCCACGCCTGCAGCCACACGTCTCGAGCATCAGTTGCAGCAGCCCCGACTCCTGCTCATTTTTACTCATGCGTCACCAGCTTGGAGTGAGCGACTGAGAGACTGGGCGACTGATTGCGTCCTGGCAGCAGTCTGGTTTGCCCTCGTTTTTCTCTTATTTTTTGTGTTGTTGTTGTTGTTGTTGTTTTACTGATGTGCTGCTACTGCGTGCGGTTCAGGTTCTTGTTATGCCCGCTGACGACTTAATGACAGGCATACAAAATACAACAACGGCGTGAAAACTGCATGCCGTTGCTGTTTTCGATGATTACCTTTTAATACAAAGTACACACACACACACATACGCACACACACAAGTCTACAAATGTATATATAAAATGCAAAAAAAAAAAGCAAACCAAACCAATTCAGACCAGAGCAGAGCAGAGCAGAGGCAGCAGTCAAGCCAAGCCGCCAACAAGCCAGAGCCAGTGCCAGAGCCAGAGCGAGGAGCAGGAGGCGGACGAGGGTAGCTGGGATCTGGACCAAGCTCTGTCATGGCATGGCATGTGTAAATGACGCTTAAAATTGAAAAATTAAATGAGAAATTATTATGTGTGGCGGCAGCGCCAAACGAGAAATGGACTAAGCTAGGGAGGGGCTTTACGACACATGGGCTCCCAGCGGGACATGCGTGTGTGTGTGTGAGTGAGCGAGGTGTCGCGTCATTAAATTAATTTGTCAAATATGTATAAAATAATAAATTACCTTTTTGTCAGTTACTCGTTTATTAATTTGTACATGGCAACAACTTTTCGGTGTTGTCCCGGCGCTCGCTTCAAAATGAATGACTGCACAAAAAGGTTTTTGGCAGAGCAGCAGAAAAAAACAGCAACAACAACAACAACAGCAACAACAGCTACAGAGGTAGGTGCCAACAAGAACGGCTAAAAGTCAACTAGCATAAAAAATTATGATGTGTAAAAAGCGAACATATAGTATGAAAACTCTTTATGTGTGTGTGTGTGTGTGTGTGTGTGTGTGGGCGTGGACATGGACGTGCACGAGTCAAAGTCTGAGATGGGGCAACAAATTGGCGCAACCTGCGCATCATGTGTAGCATTCAAGCATTTAATGGCAACGTGGCAATGGCAACCATCAGCCGACGTCATATATTTTCTCAATATACATACATATATACATATGTATGGACAGAAGTTGATTTTTATTATTTTATATATACATTTCTTGTTGTACTATTTATTATTTAACGTACGTTTCATTTGGGCCGGGAGTTTATTTTCATTGTATGCCAAAGAGCTGAATGATTTATGATTTATTCAATGCAATGACGGGCAGTTTGTGTGAGCATCAGCGCGGCTGTTTGTCTGTTAAATTATTTTTTAATGTGTCTATTAAAAAACACAACAGCTGCAACAACACCAACAGCAACAACAACGACAACCACCGACAAGCCGGCGGCTGCAATTTGGATCAGTTACATGGCCCAGGCCATGTATCAGGCGCAGGCTTTGCATCAGACCTGGTCTCAACATGCCGCCCGTCGTGTTCGGGGATTTGGTGCCGGCATTAACATCAGCCAATACAAATAGCATGCCAAATTGTTGTGGATGAGCAAAATTTGCCGCTGCATATGAGAGCAATAAAAAAAAAACTCAACAGTGGCGTCTCCAAGTGGAGCCAAAGCCAAATGCGATTTGGTGGGGCATTTGTTTTAAATTACCCTAGCGTGTAAGCGATGAGCGAGTAAATAGTCCGCACATAAAAAGCAACTACAACAACAACAACTACAACTACAAACAATAAAAACAAAATAAACAACAAATTGAGCAGTCGACAACAACAGCAACAACAACAAGAGCGCGCCTAAGCCTCCGGCTGAAGCGAACTAGTTTTAGCTCCATGCATTGGGTCAAGCGGACCGCAGATAAAGTAGCGCATTGAACAGACTCGAGATGATTGGATTTTCGGCTGGGGGGATTAGAAGTGGCCCAGCAGTGATGAGCCATAAAATGGCTGTGCTCTTTGAGTCCTTGCACAAGGATCAAGTGGGATTTGCTCTAATGTTAGCTACTTTTGCCAGCATATGCCAGTTGAGGCCGGGCTAGGCTCTAGTTGGTTTTCAATATTTTACAGCTCAGTGGGAGATGGGAGGAATTTGGAGGGTTTTGGTTTTGTAGAAAGGGATAAGAGTAAGGCAGGCAGGAGGAGGGCAAGGCAGGATCTTATATTATATATGTATATATGCATATCTTTGCTGAGATCGATGATCTGCATTGTTTTAACCATGTTCGTATTCTTGCCCACCCCTCTGCCCATTCATCTGTTCAGCTCTCCGTTCTTTTCCTCTAAAGATCCGTCAATCTTGCTTTCCATCTATCCGTCGTTCTATTTGTCTGGCCTTTGGTAAATATGAGTATCAGATATACATATATACTGTGTGCTTACTCTCCCTCATATGTAAAACAGAAACTTAGATTCAGGTGATTTCTAAGTCGATTTGTCCCAACTGAAGCATTGCTGCTTGTCTTAATGTTTAATTGAGTAAACATGAGTATCAGATATGTCTATATACTGTGTGCTTACTCTCCTTCATATGTAAAACAGAAACTTAGATTCAGGTGATTTATAAGTCGATTTGTCCCAACTAAAGCATTGCTGCTTGTCTTAATGTTTAATTGAGAATACCTTAACATACGTTTATTATATGATATCAAAAAGCAAAGCCTTTAGATATGCTTCAATCTGCCGATATATAAAATAATCTAGTGAGAAGCAATCGACAAGAATATACCCGAAAGCAGAGCTAGACTTCCACGATGCATAAAACGAGTACAGCCAGACACATAAGCATTAACTAAGTATTAACTAGATTTATAAACCAATAGCTAATTATGTATTAATTAAATTTACATACCAATACTCACTCACATTAACCAAGTATTAACTAAATTTATATGCACAACAAACTGCTTTAAATTGAACGAAACACTTGAAATTCTCTTCCGTTTCTTTCACTACTTAATAATCTCATGCATGTCCGCACTCTGCTCTGGCTCGTGTAAATACAAACAAAAAGTCAAGTAAAAATAGGAAAGCAATCCATTGTAGTAGAGTGAAGCAGTGCGCACACACATATCACTGCCACGGAGCGAGCGAAATACTTTGAAGTTCTGCCCGCACCGCGCTGCAGCAGGTGGAGAGGCGAGGAGACTGTGAAAATATTTACCCAAGTCAAATTGTTAACAGTAATGACCAATTGGGAAAGTCGATTAACAAAGTGCCGGCATTTCAACAGTGGAGCTCACTTCAGCGCAATTACCCCAACCAGTTTGAGTTTTGTGTATAAATCGGATTGACGCCAACAGCCAACAGCCATCAGCCGTACCGACGGCTGATCGGATGCAATGTCGTCGATCTGTGACTGGATAACTGTGAATCGTTTGCCACAGATATCCGTGTCGAGTCCAAGTGCATTTGACCGTGGCTAAATTAAAATATTCTCATTAAGCACGACCCCTAACTAGGACTGTCAGCTATAATTACGTACGCTATATGCTTGTGCTCTGCTCTGGCTTTGTTCAGCTCAGCTCAGCCAGAAGCGGCAGAGAGGGGCGTGGATGATGTATTAATTTAGAGGAAGCTTACAACAACCACCAACAGCAGCACCACCAGCAGCAGCAGCAGCAACTATAACAACAGCAACAATGCTGGCGACAATGACATCGGACACGGCCACAACCGCAGGAAGAGAGTCAAACTATTTCACAGCTAAAAATGCTATTATGCGTTTGTATTAACACGGACATGGAGACAGCAGCACACACACACACGCACACACACACATACACACAGGCAGGAATAGGAGCTGTAGCAACAGAGTAAAACACGTGCTAGCAACAAACACACACACACACACACAGACACACCGACGCAGCCAACATTTTCCAACATTAACAAGCACGTCGCATGCAAACTAACTGTACCATTGGAGCAGAAATATCACTGATACGAATCATATGCGGCAACGCCAAAAACGCAAAGCATGCAGGCGACATAGTTTAGAGTCCCACACACACACACACCCGCACACACACACATACACCTGGTAATATACCTGATGCGAGGGCTGTCTAAAACATAATATATAATTGTTTCTACAGCGATTTGATGGCGCTAGATAACATGGATTTTAATTCACCTGGCAATTATCTAATCTACTTAGTATCTATCTAACACAGCGAGAGTGGAAAAACGTATTTCATACATATACATACGTAACTCATTTAGCTGAAATGCTGTGGCAAAATTCTAGAAGCGACCCCCGGCTCGTCCTTTCCAATGCGTGCAGCTCAACGTACGCTAAATAGTTTGCGCATATGAGATACAGAAGCATCCTTTGTGTTGCTTTTAGATGAACACACATGTACCGCTATGTATGCACATATATATTCATTTCTATACATATGAATATATATATATTTGTATGTGAATATGTGGCTGCTTACACACACCTGCCCATGCAGCTTGGGATGCTGGGAAAAGTTAGTTACGAGCTCCAAACAATGATATTACGTAAAAT